ACTATGAAAGAAGCAAAAAGGAAGGATAACTCAGGAGATATTATTAGAGATGTTGGAAATCATGAGGGTAAGAAAGCTAGCATAAAGGCACTTTACCTGAATGCTCGTAGCATTCGTAACAAGGTTGATGAGTTAACAGCACAAATCATCGCGAATGAATATGATTTGGTAGCCATTACGGAGACATGGTTACAGGAGAGTCACGACTGGGAGTTAAATATCCAAGGGTACCAGACTATTCGGAAGGACAAACAGGAAGGTAAGGGAGGTGGTGTAGCTCTGATATTCAAGGACGACATCAGGGTGGTGCTGAGAGATGATATAGGTTCTATGGAGAATGAGGCTGAATCCATCTGGGTGGAAATTAGAAAATCTAAGAGGAAAAAGTCACTGATAGGCATAGCCTATAGGCCACCAAATAATAACATCACATTGGGGCGGGCAATAAACAAAGAAATAACTAATGCCTGTAAAAATGGTACAGCAATTATCATGGGGGATTTTAATCTACATGTAGATTGGTCGAACCAGCTCGGTCAGGGTAGCCTTGAGGAGGAGTTTGTTGAGTGTATCCGTGATAGTTTTCTTGAACAGTGTGTAATGGAACCGACGAGGGAGCAAGCTATCCTAGATCTGGTCCTGTGTAATGAGACAGGAATAATTAATGACCTCATAGTTAGGGATCCTCTTGGAAGGAGTGATCACAGTATGGTTGAATTTAGAATACAGATGGAGAGTGTGAAGATAAAATCCAATACCAGGGTCCTGTGCTTGAACAAGGGAAACTACAATAGAATGAGGGAGGACTTTGCTAAAGTAGACTGGAAACAAAGATTTTATGGTGGGACAGTTGACGAGCAGTGGAGGACTTCCAAAGCAATTTTTCAAAGTGCTCAGCAAAAGTATATTCCAGTGTAAAGGAAAGACTGTAAGAAAAGGGGTAATCTGCCATGGGTGTCTAAAGAAATAAGGGAGGCTATCAAATTGAAAGAGAAGGCATACAAAGTGGCCAAAAACAGCATAAAACTAGAAGATTGGTAAAACTTTAAAGGTCAACAGAAAGCCACAAAAAGCTATAAAGAAAAGTAAGATAGAACATGAGAAAAAACTAGCACAGAATATAAAGACAGATAGCGAAAGTTTCTATAAATATATAAAACGAAAAAGAGTGGCTAAAGTAAACATTGGCCCTTTAGAGGATGAGAAGGGGAGTTTAGTTATGGGATATGATGAAATGGCTGAGGCATTGAACAGGTATTTTGTATCGGTCTTCACAGTGGAGGACACTAATAACATGCCAGTAATTGACAAAGAGACGAAGGTAGGTGAGGACCTGGAAACAATCATAATTACGGAAGAGGTACTGTTGGGCAAGCTAATGGAGCTAAGGATTGATAAGTCTCCTGGCCCTGATGGAATGCATCCCAGGGTACTAAAAGAGATGGTGGGAGAAAAAGCAGGTGCACTGGCGGTAATTTTCCAAAATTCGCTGGACTCTGGGGCACTCCCAGCAGATTGGAAAACAGCAAATATGATGCCACTGTTTAAAAAGGGAAGTAGACAAAAGATGGGGAATTATAGACCGGTAGTGGGGAAGATGCTTGAGTCTATTATCAAGGAAGAAATAGCAAGACATCTTGATAGAAATTGTCCTGTTGGGCAGACGCAGCATGGGTTCATGAAGGGCAGGTCATGCTTGACAAATCTTTTGGAATTCTATGAAGACATTACGAGCAAGGTGGACAATGGGGACCCAGTGGATGTGGTGTACCTAGATTTCCAAAAGGCCTTCGACAAGGTGCTGCACAAGAAGCTACTGCATAAGATAAGGATGCATGGCATTAAGGGTAAAGTATTAGCATGGATAGAGGATTGGTTGACTAACAGGAAGCAAAGAGTGGGGATAAATGAGTGCTATTCTAGCTGGCAGTCAGTGACTAGTGGTGTGCTTCAGGGATCGGTGTTGGGACCGCAATTATTTACAATTTATATAGATGATTTGGATTTGGGGACCACGTGTAGGGTGTCAAAGTTTGCAGATGACACTAAGATGAGTGGCAGAGCAAAGTGTGCAGAGGAACATAGATACATTGAGTGAGTGGGCAAAGGTCTGGCAGATGGAATACTATGTAAATAAATGTGAAGTCATACATTTTGGTAGGAGTAATAGCAAAAAGGATTATTACTCGAATGGTAAAAAGTTGCAGCATGCTGCTATGCAGAGGGACCTGGGTGTCCTTGTGCATGAATCACAGAAGGTAGGTCTGCAGGTACAACAAGTAATTAGGAAGGCAAATGGAATTTTGTCCTTCATTGCTAAAGGGATTGAGATTAAAAGCAGAGAGGTTATGTTGCAGCTGTACAAGGTGCTGGTGAGGCCACACCTGGAGTACTGTGTGCAGTTTTGGTCTCCTTACTTGAGAAAGGATGTACTGGCACTGGAGGGGTGCAAAGGAGGTTCACTAGGTTGATTCCAGAGTTGAGGGGGTTGGCTTATGAGGAGAGACTGAGTAGATTGGGATTATATTAATTGGAATTCAGAAGATTGAGGGGGGATCTTATAGAAACATATAAAATTATGAAGGGAATAGATAAGATAGAAGTAGAGAGAATGTTTCCACTGGCAGGTGAATCTAGGACAAAAGGGCATAGCCTCAAGATTAGAGGGAGCAGATTTAGGACTGAATTGAGAAGGAATTTCTTCACCCAGAGGGTTGTTAATCTGTGGAATTCCTTGCCCAGTGAAGTAGTTGACGCTACTTCAGTAAATGTTTTTAAAGATAAGGTAGATATTGTTTTGAACAATAAAGGAATTAAGGGATACGGTGAGAACGCGGGTAAGTGGATCTGAGTCCACGAAAAGATCAGCCATGATCTTATTGAATGGCAGAGCAGGCTCGAAGGGCCGGACGGCCTACTCCTGCTCCTAGTTCTTATGTGTGAAGTGGTAACAGTAAGTGAAATCAATGAGGAAGAGTGTTCAATATTGTTTCTTTCAGTGCATTTGTTTCAAATGTAAGTAAGAGCAATGTTCTTTGTTGGGAAAAAATTTCATTTTGTTTCCAGCAGCTTTGCCTTGTGTAAGAGAGAGAGATCATAGCTCTCAAAGCCATGCTGCTTTTTCTCTATAGATCTGATTCTGAATATTTTCAGCCACTGCTTTTTTAATGGTGCCTTAAGGTGAAACAGTCTCTTTTGGCGGGGAGTGGGGAGACTGGAATAGGCTCTTCCTCCCTTTCCTTCAGATATCCTATGTGGGTTTAAGTCCCACTGCAGGACTTCACATGAAAATCCAGGCTGACACTCCTGTGTCGTATTATTGGCAGTGCTGTCTTTGAGAAAAACTGAAGCCATCTCCCCTTTCAGATGGGCAAGAAAACTCTCATGGTATTACTTTGGACAAGGGCAGGGGAGTTAGTTTTGGCATTCTGGCCATTTTTTTCCCTTAATCAATGTTGCAAAAACAAATTATCTGGTTATTTTCACATGGCTGTTTGTGGGGGCTTACTGCACTCCCTACAGGCTATTTCAAAAGCACTTCATTGGCTGTAAAGCCATGGGACAACTTTGTAAGAGGTAAATGCAAAATCTATTTTCAAGGGACAATTGTCACATTCATTAGTGAGACAGTTCCTTCTTCAGGAAGATTTGATTTTAATTGGCCTTTTTTCAATTTGTAACAAGACATTGAAAGAAGTAAATAAAACAGAGAACTGCGGATTCTGGGGATCTGAAACAAAAACAGAAATTGCTGAAGAAACTCAGCAGGTCTGGCAGCATCAGTAGAGTGTAAAACAGAATTAATGTTTCAAGTCTTCAGACATTAACTCTGTTTCTCTCTGGACAGATACCACCAGACCTGCTGAGTTTCTCCAGCACTTTCTGTTCTTGTGTCATTGAAAGCAGTTTATTTAGCAATAAAATAGTTTTTTTAAAAGTTACATTGGTTAGGCCACTTTTGGAATACTGCATTCAATTCTGGTCCCGCTGCTATAGAAAAGATGTTGTTAAACTTGAAAGGATTTAGAAAAGATTTACTTGGATGTTGCCAGGGTTGGGGGGTTTGAGCCATAGGGGGAAGCTCAATAGACTGGGGCTATTTTCCCTGGAGCGTCAGAGGCTGAGGGGGGACATTATAGAAATTTATAAAAGCATGAGGGGACTGGATGGGGTGAATAATTGAGGCCTTTTCTCCAGGATAGGGGAATCCAAAACTAGAGGGCATAGGCTTAAGGTGAGAAGGGAAAGATTTAAAAGGGACCTAAGGGGGGGGGCAACTTTTTTCACACAGAGGGTGGTGTGTGTATGAAATAAACTGCCAAAGGAAGTGGTGGAGGCTGGTACAATTACAACACTTAAAAAGGCATCTGGATGGGTATATGAATAGGAGGGGTTTAGAGGGATACGGGCCAAATGCTGGCAAATGGGACTAGATTAATTTAGAATATGTGGTAGGCATGGACGAGTTGGATTGAAGTTGCTGTGCGTCTCTATGACTCTATTTCCTGACGTATCCCCATGCAATGTGTGTTTGTTACTTTGTAGATGGGCATGACTTTTTTTTGGTGAGGGGGGTGGTTTGGGCAACAGGAGAGTGAGTGAGGGGAAGCTGGGCTGACCAATTAAGTGCTTGTGTGTTATACTGTAGATGGGCATAACTTTTTTTTGATTAGGGGGTAGCTTTGGGCAACAGGAGAGTGAGTGAGGGGAAGCTGGGCTGACCAATTAAGTGCTTGTGTGTTATACTGTAGATGGGCATGACTTTTTTTTTGGTCGGG